TCCCAATTCGTCGGTCATCCGACGTGACGTCGAGAGAGACCGACTGAAAGGGAACTTAAAGCTAATTAAAGTTAAGTTTGTTTGTCACACATAGCTACCACATGACTTCAGAAATCTGCTTTAATGGGTTTTAAACCTTTTTGGAGCGACAAATATAAAAAGGAGCAGTGCAAATTCTTTTTTGTGTGTTTCTCAAAAAGTAGCAACATATGGTTTGAAAAAACAGGGGAGTAAATCATTTTTATTTGCGGTTGAACTATTCTTTTGAATGAACACAGCAAAACTGCTGAAAAAAGAAGTGTGGTGAAGGTTGAAGCTCAAAGTAATGTGTTTTCAGACTGTCCAGCCACATAAAGGCTTCTTTACATTTGGGGGAGGATACTAATGGTACCATCATTATTATGCAGAGTACCACGTGTTTCTAATAGTTTCATGGTTATCCTTGTCATATGAGGCATGAGCACTGCAGCAAATACAAAAGTTACAGAAACTATGATTTAATAGTATGATGTGGGTGCGCAATAGTATGATGTTGAAAGGTAAAACAGAAACTGCTATATCTTACCTCAAGGTCATTAAGTGAATGAGCCAGACTGAGTCGTTTAGCGATACCTGATGGTCTTCGTACAGAGGAACGTCCCCTTGTGAGTGCCCAAAATAAAGACCCCTGAGAAGACAAACATTAACCAGAGTTTACAGTTACAGTTTCATAAGAGTGACTGGCATAGCAAAGGTTTCATTCCAGGTAACACTATATAATTGTAGAATTAAAAAATAATTACTATATAATTTACAATTGGCTACCATCCTCTTTTTTCAGTTGTGTTACTCCTAATTTAAAATTAATTTGTATTTCAATTTCAAAGGAACATAAAACAAAAAAAGTTACCATTGACCATAATATTAATTAATTATTAATATTTTCGATACATTATCTTATTGATTGTAAACAGGAAATCAGGGTAACTGCATTGAAAATGCAAAATGGCTTTTTTTTTATTCTTTTATTTGTTTATGTACTTTCACAAAATTAATTTAACACATAATCGTTGATATATAAACTGCAACACCAATGACATTACAATTGGTTAAAGTGTTATTATCTACATTATTAAATAAAATGTTTGATTTTATTTATTTAATTTTATTTATTAATTTTAGATACGGTTGGCATCTAAAAAATACTTTCCAATACATAATTGATTTAGGCTTCAAAATTAAATCCAAAGGGCAAGACATGTCAGAGGGAGACAGATGCCTAGCAATAAATCATCAGTGAAAGGAAGGAAATAATAATATTCTTCTGTTCCCTTACATGGCTGACAAATTGTTGCTAGGTGACTCTCGACATTGTTAATAGAGCTAAAGCTGATCCATCCAGCGTAATCATATTGAACTGCACTAATCAACCCAATAGCTCCATCTGCTGTGCCTGTTACTTGCAGCACCATCTGTTCCTTGGCTCATTGTATTAAGCCCTTTAACTTAGCATGGTGGCAAACTGGCAAAAAACCTGCCATAAGACTGACCACAGGGCAGACAGCAACGACAAAGCAAAGATTGTCTCATTTGATACATAAAATAATAGTGGACAAGCTGTAAAATAGCCCATAGTAATATTATAGTGTAAATTATTTTGTTTTAAGCATCACTATTATTATTACTCATACATAAGGTTAATTACATTATTTTGCTAACCACCAAAAACACCTTAGCAACTGCATAGTTGAATGTAGACCAAGGTTTTATAGTGTAGTATAAGAACAGATTCAGATACCAAGTCATCAGAGATTTGTTTTATTCTGACCTTATTTTCCCCATCCTTATGCTTGGCTGCACTACTGAAGAACCTGGAGGTCAGCTCAAGCTGTGGAGTGAAGTTCATTCTCTGAGGATGTTTGAGATCTTCTAGTGGTTTGTATCGGAGAGTTGGGATTTGTTTCATAGCGGAAGGAAGGATGCTACTTTTACTTGTGGGCCCATCGCTGTCCCTTTCCACCAAGCATTCAATGCTGTTGGGACGAGACTTCTGCCAGCGAGCCTTTAAGCCAATGGAAGGTCTGCGTTGACTGGTTCTCAGTTTAGGTGGCAAGTTAGATTGCATACTAAGAGAAAGAGGAGTAAAAGCTGAACTGTCTGCCTTGGCTGAGACACCTGATTGAGTCACAGGTTGAGCAGCTCCTGCTAGCGGTTCGGACAGAAGGCACCTGCACTCCGGTTTGTTTCTGTGCTGTGAATAATATGGTGGTGGGTTGGAAATGTTTGGAGGCGTGAAGCTCCACTGGCCACTGAGACTGTCTCTATCCTCCGGCGAAGCATTTCCGATCCCGCTGTCACTGCCACTGCCATTGTTACGTGCGTTTTGTGGTTCTTCTTCAGGATTCTCGCTGTCAAGTTTCAGTCTCAGTTTTTCAATATAGTCCCCCATGTCAGAATAGAGGATGGACACAAAGTGAGAAATCGAGTGTGGAGTTTGAGGAAACTCCAAACAGCCTTGAGTGTCTGGATCTGGAGTGCAGGGAATCCCAAAGTGCCCTATGATGCTTTGGTGCTCCTTGTGTTCATAAAGCTCCGGATCTATGAAAAACACATGACATAATGTCTTCAGGGTGCTTGTCTGCATCCCAGCATGAATATTTTTGGTCGTATCAACCGAGACAAGGCCAAAGAACCTGCTGTCCTCCGAGCAAATGACACAAAGCGCCAGGTTCTCCGCTGGGTAAGATGCTAGAACGACATCTCGGTCATCGCAAAGCTGAACGCAGTTGCATTTGACCCTCATCATGACCAGCGAATGGGTCTTCTGCTCAATGCCAATCTGACTAATGCATTCACGGATGGCTTGCAATGCCTCCTCCTCAGATTGTGACGTTACTAGCTCCAGTTCCATGGAGTTGATGTATCCCACAATCATCGCAAAGTTCAGGATGCTGGAGTCAGATACAAAGTCATTCTGACTCTGAAGGTCTGAAAACACAGAATCCTCACTTACGACTCGAGACGTGTCATCCTGTGAAAGACTATTTGACCTACGCTGCTGCAACCAATAAGACATATCTGGTTCAGAGAAAGGTCTTTGTTTTTTCTGCTTCTCTTGATGGGCGCTCATGGTGCCCTGATCAGAGATCTCAAAGACAGTATCAAAACTTCCAACCGACTGAAGCATCGGCTCCCTCATGTCCATACTGTTGGGGAAAGGATCCTTTTTTCCGGGATTGAGCCACGGCAGTTTGCTCTTACTCTGACAACCCAGTTCCTCATCACTGGAGCAGGAGGCCATGGGTGGCCTGTCACCTGATGTGACCAGCAAACACAGTGATTGTGATGACATACCAATCAGCTTCACCACAACTTCATGCGGCGCCTCGGACACGTCTGTATCGTTCATACGCAAGATGCGGTCCCCAGGCCGCAGTCCGATACTGTACGCTGAACTCCCTTTTATTATTCCCCGCAGGACACAAGGTGCTTGGCCGGCAATGGTGAACCCGTAGCCAGCTCTGCCACGCTCCAGCTCCACCCTGCGCACCGCCGGGCTGGGGGGACGATCCGGATGCCTCATAGTCGACTCAGCTGGCTTCAGAACTCGCATTTTGGTGCTGGAACTCACAATAGTAGTACTTTGTACTGGTATAGTAGTTTCGTTCAGATACAGTTCCAACCATGAACAATCATCTTGCTGCACTGCTACAGATCAGACCTGAGGGGAGTAAAATGACTAAGGTTAGAATATGACACTTTTTCATTTGTTGAAATAGTAGGCAAATATATGTCAAGTCAAGTGAACTTTATTTCTATAGCGTTTAATACAATAGACATCGTGTCGAAGCAGCTTCACAGAGATAAACAGAAAAGCAGCTCAATTATAATATGTAAGATGAATAGAGATATAACCCCTGACCACACACACACAAAAACATACCAAATTTTAAAGCAGTGGCCTGCAGGAAGACTATTTTTCCACCCCACCCGTATTTTATTATTTGTAGCACAAACTTTAAGAGTTCTGAATGAATCACTCTGATGAAAAAGCTTTGACCATTCTGATCATCTTTTAAAAACTACAAGGACATTTATATAAAATGTATTACATATTTTATTTTATACACATAGTGTGGCATGTTATTATTAGTATTATTAAATTATTTTAAACAATTATAAACAATTACAAACTAACAATTTCTTCATTTTATTTCAAGCAGTGTTCTGAACTCATATACCGATATATATTATATATATATATATATATATATATATATATATATATAACACACATATACACACACACAC